CCATTCCAAAAAAAGTTTTTATTATTGACTAGCGCGAAATCTCGAGAATTCCTACCATTGTATAATACCCCAGTTAGGTTGAACTTGTCCCGATTTTGGGTCAATATCGAGGTCACGCAGAGCTCCTACAATCAGCTTTATATTGGGAAGAATGAAGCAAGTCTTTATTGAGAATAAGCTCATGTCACTTCGTTTTGTTCCTGGTAAACGAGCGCCGTAAATGCCAAGAATGAAATCCACCCGAAGCAGATACAAAGCTTCTACTTTCCATTAATCCCATTGTGGTTGGAGAGTCTAGTGTCTAGCCTGTTGGTATATAGCTTGGAATCTAGGAACCCAGCGTTCATAAAACACATACACAAGAAGACAAATAAGACAAGCACACACGATGGAGCTTGTGGTCGCCATGTGTTTTTCGGAGACTGGGTTTCTAGACTCCAAGCCATGGTGGCTGAAACGGCGCTCAAACAGCTTCCTGTGCCCCGTGTAGACATTTCGAAAAATGAATTTGAGCGTAAACACATGACATATTCACATACACACACATCCAGGCATCAAATACGCACAGCACTCTGTGTGTGCTTGCACTCAAATTAATTTTTTGCAATTATCTATCAACTAGCCCAACAACAAGTTCTTCTACTCGTGTAAACACTCGCTCCAGATTCCAGTCTAGGTTTTGTGTTATGACATTTTACCCTGAAACTGTGGCCTTCTCTATCGGCATCAGCAGTGCACTTGCCGATCACCGAGGACACTGTGATGTGAAAACACTCGCTGACTTTTGTCGTTTTGGTAAAAGCGGGGACAACGACGGTTGTGGTCAGAGCCCTTAGAATTGTACTACGCTGTGCAACTTTACCGCAAAGGGTCAGCGCATGCGCCACAGCGTCGTGATATATATAAAAAAAAGACAAATTGTGGCACGCCGGCGCCGCACTGCCTTTATGGCGCGGCAGCAGCGGCCGCGTACCCGCACTGAAAATTTCAACGGCCGCGCCAAGCGGCGCGAGGAAACCAGGCGGTAGCGACGGCGCGGCGGCGCACAGCTCTACTCACGTCACTACAGATCTGATGTGACGTCAAGACAACTGCCGTTACTTCTATTCTGTTGCTGCGCAAGCGATGGGCTTAGATCGTGAGAATGAGCATCCTGCTACACTTTTAGAAGTGAATTAAAAGGTATTCTACATGTTTGTTGTGTCCGACCCTTCGTGTGGAGAATCCTTACATACAGAGGAAATCCACAGCAGGCTTGGAATAGCCTCGAAACTTGGTGGCACCTTTTAAAGGCCCTTGTTCGGGTATTATATAAGGGAGGGGGGATAACATAGAAAGTTAGACATGTAATTTATGAAGTCACAATGAAACACACTTTTCAAAGAAATGGAATACCTGTTTAGATGCATAAAGGAGAACAGTAAAAAATCACAAAGAATATTACACCGTGAGGCAATCAGTGAGCAACTGCTTAAACACAATGGGGTTACGCTCAGTGACAACACTATCTCCCAATATACTCCACTCTGCAACGGCAACCAGCAAAGAAGATTGATTGAAGGACGACGTTGAGCCATGCAATGGCTGGATACTGTAAGGGTTAAAGAAGCAGTGAAAAGTACGGTGTGAGGGATTGAGGAGTTTACCACGAATTTGTGGGAAGTTGTAATAAAGCCTATTACTCAAGACCCAGGAATGAGATCATGGCACTGATGCTTTCGTCACGGCTTTACCTGGAAGAAATGAATCTAGCCACATGCTTCTGTACTGATTCTAAAACGTTAATGAGGTATGCTTGGTGAGTGCTCCAAATAGCTGAGGCATATTCAAGCTTACTCCGGATGAATGTTTCATGGGCCATTTTTCACGTTGCTGAGGGATACAAGAAAAGGGAACGTCTAATGTAACCAGGTGATTTAGTAGTACAGGCAGCTAATTTTGTCCAACTTTTTATTTATTGCGAGACCAAAATAATGATATGATTTGACGAAGCACAAAGCCATTGAGTTTAGGGAGTATGTGTACTTGTTGTTTGAGCCCTTACGAAATATCTGCATCACGTTGCATATCGAGATGTTCAGTTTCGTAAATGAATTAGAACACCAGGTTTCAATTAGATGCAAATCGTTTTGGAGCATATCACGGTCACTATGGTGTGCGATGCGACGATAAAGAATGCAGTCATCTGCAAAACCTCAAATAGAAGATGAAATGCCATTTGAAAGGCGTTTATGGCGATGACAAAGAGCAGAGGACCAAGCTCGGATCCCTACAGGTACTTCAGAAATCACGTCAGTACTGGTTGAACAACGATTTCCGACAACGGTGTATTGGAAGCAACTTGTCTGGAAGCAGCGGACCCATAATAATGTGAGGGGGTCTAGTTTTAGGCATGAAAGCTTTGCCAAAAGTCGCTGGTGGGGAACACAATCAAAAGGTTTGGCAAAATCATAATAGATGACATCAGTTTGGAAAGATGAGTCTTGGTTAAGTGAAGTTCAATAACAAATTCCAAGAGCTGAGTATCGCACCATAAGACAGGCCGAAAACAATGTTGATAGTGAAAAAAGAAGACATGATTACCTAGATGTCATGCTGAGTATATTATATTTTGTAAGAGTTTGCAAGCAATGCTTGTAAGCGAAATAAGTCTATAGTTGGAAAGATCCGAGTGGCTGCCCGACTTGTATATTGGTACTACCTTATTGACATTCCAGTCATTCGGAAGCAAACTGTCTGTGATAGAATGTGTGAAAATTATTTGTAATATATAACTAGAGAATACTTTTGTGCTTTTTAGAATTTTGACTGCATAACATCACGTCCGAAGGCAACAGAGATCTTAATTTTTTCAATGAGCTTCAAGACTTCTTCAAAAGTGATGGTTATTGGAGCCAAAAGAATGGTGGGGTGGATCACAGCCATTTAGCGTAGGTTCATTTGTGAAAAAAGGTGAAAAATACAAATTTATTACATTTGATTGCTCATCATTTGGCACATTCGAACCATCAGGGTAACTAAAATAAATGTTGTTGGAGCCTTTACCATGCTGTGTGTATGAGCAGGTCTGGCGAAGTAATATGTTTCTGAGTTTGAGTCTGAGTGTGGAGAAAATGTATTAGTGAGCCTGAATTGGGATGAGTCTGCCTGAGGAAAATTTTAGAGTCGGAAGTCCAGGTGACTCTTCAGAGCAAAACATATTTTTTACTGAGTCTGAGTCAGATCCCATTTCTTCGCGACCTGTGCCTTTATCACAGTGCAAGTTGACCACTTTCTACAATCCCCAAACAAATGGCATCACCTAGCGCCTAAACTGCACTCTCACAGATTAAGTCAGCGCAACCGACAAAAAAGGATACAATTCACATAGAAGGGTTAGCCAAAAATGCTAGCTCTTAATCACTATTAATGATGCTGTACCGATGCGCCTAATTCTACAATCTTCAAAATATCAGACATGCTCTCACTGTATGCTTCATCTGACCACTGTTACTAGGACCAGACACTACGTCACATTACTTCACCTAAAATTCATTTCATCATGTCGCCACCAGTCGTTCAATATTTTAAATTGTGGGAATCGAGAGCGCCCTCCTACCTGGCGCCTCGTCATCCAGCTGCCCCACGCGTGCCGACAGGGTAGCCCGGGCGCGTATAATTACCGGCATTCGCCAAGATGGCTGTCAGGGCGCCTCTCGGTCTGGGCGAGTCAAGCCTCGGCTCCGTCCCGCGCTGGCATGTCCGGGCCCGCTACGCTGCGCGCTGCGCGGGCTTACGTCACAACGCAGCGCCATTTCCCTTTGGGCGCGCGTGACATCCTCCTCTCCTACGAGCTATGTTGCGCCCGACGATTTGCTCGTCGCGGCAGATGCTCTCAGGCCTTCACGAGGGGTTCACGCGCTGCTAAGCAGGTGGCTTCTCGTTCGTGCGTTCGACTTCGGCCCTTGTGCGGGAGTCGTCGCGCCCTAGGCAAGCGTACTTGCTCAGTCTTGCGGAGTTCCCTATACGGCCTGCAAGCCCATGAGTGTCGCACTGTGCTGCATCTTGGGTTAATAAACCCGTTGTTGTTGTTATCCTGCCTCGTGCGTGGTTTCTGTGCCATGCCGGAGAAAACGACGAACCCGGCCGCAGCGTCTTCGCACGCAGCGGCAGTGGAGGACGCCGCATCCCTACACGGTTGTGCTTAGTAGGCAAGCCTAGTGGAAACCTATCTTCACAAAATTAACCTGCCCATTGGTCACGACCACTGAACGTCCTACTTCAGAACCGCCTTGCAAGCACAATACGATGCCATTGCTCATGCCAACCATGAGCATAAGATTGCCCACTCTAGGCTGTTAGCTTTGTAAACAAACCAAAAGAGCCTTTATGACAGCCAGCACCACAATGTTTCCCTTTAACTTGGTTCCTTAGTTCCCGTGGGGTCCAGTCTGTCATGTTGGCTAGTCAAAGATGTTATCTCGGTTTGGGGGTTTTTACCGTGTCATCCCCCACATAACGAACATCACTTGCGAGAATGTTACCTTTGTATTGGGCTATTGCAACAGTAATCGTAACCCGTCACGTAGTTTGACCAGTTTGAAGGGCACTTATACTGCCGAGGTAAGGCTGCAAAGCTAGCACAATCTGAGAGAGAAATTCTACCGAAAAAAAGATGACACAACAAATAGGCCCATTCAGAGTGCAGGTTGTCCATCATCTTGGTCAATACTGTGTATCTCAAAGCAGAAAATGGGAAGCTCGAGCCAGTTGGTTGAGATTTATGTTTGAAAAAAAGAAAACACAAGACAAGCACTCACCTTGAGCAGTCTTACTTTTAACTTACGTTCTGCACTGTCTAAACAAGGCACCTCAGTGTGAGTACGCTTGTAGGTAGTCATAATTTTTGTCTTTTTAAGTAACAATATCAAAGCACAGAACACTCGCAATGATTCACAAGACATTTGAATCAACCATACAATTACCTGCTGAGGAATGTAAGCAATTTTAAAACCACTTACCTTCAGTGACGGGCAACATTGTGCCAAATACTTGAAAAACTTTGGTGTGTATACATGCTGCGCCCTCCTGCCAGAGAAGAACTTCTGAGCACTGCCTGACATACGTAGCTCCACGAGGTTAGCATCAGCATGAGCTCGGATCAGATGCCATGCACGCAGTGATGATAGAGGTTTCCCCGACACATCAATCCTTCTTCGAAGCACTTTGTCATGTGCAATCCGTCGCCACTGTCGGCAAACACTGCAAAGATAGCGGAAAGAACAGAAGGCTCACAGATTCACAATTTACAAGTACAGCAGTACAACGCAGCTTTTCAATAATAAAGTTTGCTGTAGTCATCAGGTCAAATAATAAGAGGTAAGAGGTTTTCTATGTCTTGCTCTAAACAAGTTTACAAAGCAGTGAAAAATGAAGCCACAGAAGGAATATAGTAAGCTCATTGTTATGCTAAATTTGAGTGCAGGGTAAATATGGTAAAAAATATAAAAGTAGACTAAGTAACTTTTGTAGTGTTTTTAACCCGTTTGATCTGTCTTTTATGAATGCCACTCTACCACTACAAATGCTGAACGCTAGAACAATATACCTCATACAACCCTGAATAAAAGCACAGGTTTCCGATTTGCCTGATGCATAACAGAGCAAGGCCAGCTGAGCCTTGAGAGGGAAGTTCACAAAGCCAATATGTCATTCTAAAACTGGGAGTCTGTTCACACAAGGTTTATTACACCATTATACTGCAAATCTTGAACAAAATGAAGTTGCTTATAAGGTCTTTTAGTGTATCTGGACAAGGCTGGATGAGAAACTCCCCTGCATTTGGTAACTGACACCGCTTCCCCAGCAGGAACTCTTTAAAAGGCTGCTCAACTGCACAACAGTGTTACTATAATTATATGTAACCTGCATCCAGGATCCTATTCCAGTCTCATACTTGGGGCCCTCGTCTATATATTTCATGCTCTGTAATTAGTATGTTATTTAATAATGAACATTTATTGATTTAATATGCTTCTCTTAAACTACTCTCAGTACGCATCTCCTACAACACTGTTTCATATTGACTTACGTAACTTGTATTTTTGTGCATGCATGCACCTCTTGAAACTTGAAAAGACAGTATGAAGACAGGACGAACGAAGGTGGCACGAGGATGGGCGCTGACTGCCAATTAAAATTTTTATAGACAAAACCAAGAATGCATAAATATACAAAAGAATTATTACAAAACAATTTTTAGTCATGTTCATGACATCAAATAGCTGATTTCTTTTTCAAACAGATCAAGCAATAGACAACCTACACATTGATCGCCTCTTTGGTGGATGGCAAAGGCCTCGTACATCTCCCGAGCGCACCTTTGACCTTATCATTTTAAGACCATGACATCACACACACTGGGAGTGGATCCATGCCTGGCACAAGGTGTAGCTAGATTACTATGAACACCAGTAATTAACAAATTGGCATGTTCATGAAGCCTATCATTGATGCACTGCCCAAACTGTCCCATGTACTCATGGCTATGCGAACCTGCAATTTTATGCTGTATGTCGCACACTCAATAATAATAATTATTTGGGTTTGACGTCCCAAAACCACCACATGATTATGAGAGACACTGTAATGGAAGGCTCTGCAAATTTCGACCTCCTGGGTTTCTTTAACGTGCACCTAAATCTAAGCACATGGGCGTCAAGCATTTTTGCCTCTATCGAAAATGTGGCCGCCATGGCTGAAATTCGATCCTGCGACCTGCGGGTGAACAGCCGAGTGCCCTAGCCACTAAACCACCACGGCGGGTTCGCGCACCCAATGAATGACTTGATGTGTTTCTTCGAACAGGTTGCTTTGTTTGCTTCTCTTTTGTTCACACAGCAGCACATGCCGCATAGCTTGAAGAGGGCTAAAAACATCACACGGACACAAGCACGTCCGGCCACCTTCCTGACCCTCTGTGAAACCCCAGGGCTAAACCGCAAGGTAGCAATAATCCACAATGTCCAGGGGATTCCACACAGGGTAAAGAAGGTGGCCGGACGTGCTGATGTCCATGTGGCCTTTTCAAATATTTCAAGCTGGGCGGCAAGTGAACGAAAAGGATGGAAACAGAGCAAGCTGTTCGAAAAAACATGCTAAGTCATTTATTGAGTGCACGACATGTGTCATATATGCGATTCCTTGTCTGTGAAGCAGTGTGTATGTGGAGTGGATTGGGCGGTGCACCACCGATAGGCTTCACGAACATGCCAATCCATTAATGACAAGTGTTGGTATCTATCCACATATTGTGCCAGGAATCGATGACATCACTGTGCTAAAACCAAGTGCGCCAGTATGTCTGACATCACTGTCCTAAAATGCTATTGTCAAAGGCGTGTGCGAGAGTTATACAAGGCTTTTGCCAACAACCAAACAAGCAAAAGAAGTGTAAGCACTTCATCACTTGATCTCTTTAAATAAAAAATCGGCTACATGACATCATGCATTTGACCAAAAACTATAATCTAATCGGTTTTCATCCTTTCGTGTTTCAACATACTCTCGCTTTCGTCAATAAAAGTTTCATTTGGCAGTGATCGCCCGTCCTCGTGCCACCTTCCTTCATCTCCTCTCTGTGCTGTTTTTTCAAGTTTCAAATTATGTACCAACTAGCCTATCTTTCGCTGCTTCTTCAGTTTGCACTTCTGGCTTTCCACTCCTTTGATAGCCCCATTAAGGGTCGGAATACCTGAAATTAATAGTATTTGCGAAGGGCAGCCAGAAATGCATCGTCCATATCCTGACATAGCATCTAGTGTACTGCAAGGCACTCTCTCGTGTGCTTACTGTTATTCATTTAAATTAATGGCACTGGCATTTTTATTGACCTTGCTTTTTGCCAATTTGCCTTTCTGTTTACTGGGTTGTTAAAATGGTGATTACCACTTCACTCTTCAAGCAATCTTAGAGTTATTAACCTGGGCAATGAATGGCTAATGACCCAACTTCTCTTGTTCCATAAAGAATACACATCTGCCTCATGCTTCTTCATACATATATTTAGGTTTCAGTCTAACTTCAACAATCTCCTGGAAGGAGCACTTACTACAGTTTATGCTAAGGCATCCAAAACATTAAGGTATATTAGTACCATAACTTGCACTATTACATCTGTGTACACATAAATTAGCCTGAAATACCACAGCTATTATTCAACGGCAATCCAGTCTCTTCATGAGAATTATCTTGTTAGCATGATAGAACTGATCCAAACAAGGGCCACTTGATATATATGAACCATGAAGGGCTACTCCAGTGTAACTGACCTTAAACAAGAACTCAATTTATAGTGATTATACATGTGTAATTTCACTTCACTTTTATATCTAATGCACAAATATATTTATATACTACGATTCAGTTGCATACGAAATCATGATTGATCGATCGATCGATTGATTGATTGATTGATTGATTGATTGATTGATTGATTGATTGATTGATATGTGGGGTTTAACGTCCCAAAACCACCATATGATTATGAGAGACGCCGTAGTGGAGGGCTCCGGAAATTCAGACCACCTGGGGTTCTTTAACGTGCACCCAAATACAAAATCATGCTCCGCGCCCAAACCCCAACATCTATATAACCACATAAGCAATACATATACCTTTAAAAGGGCTCTAGTTTTAAATTAGCCCCGCCGCGGTGGTCTAGTGGCTAAGGTACTCGGCTGCTGACCTGCAGGTTGCGGGATCGAATCCCGGCTGCGGCGGCTGCATTTCCGATGGAGGCGGAAATGCTGTAGGCCCGTGTGCTCAGATTTGGGCACACGTTAAAGAACCCCACGTGGTCGAAATTTCCGGAGCCCTCCACTCAGTGTCTCTCATAATCATATGGTGGTTTTGGGACGTTAAACCCCACATATCTATCTATCTATCTATCTATCAGTTTTAAATTAATTTGCAATTCAGTAAAACCTCATTACATTAAAGAATACTGAAATGGAAAAAAAGCCCGATTTAACTGACGGTCAAATTATTGAAAGTATACAGAAAAGAATAAGAAAATGCCCGTTATACATTATAAACTTACACTTTCTTGATAAATACATAGGTGCTGTAGTTATTTTGAATAAAAGAGGTGTAGAAGCCACAACACAAGACTCCCCAGACTAATTAGCTTGAAATATGCCCGCACACCCCTTCCTTATTGCATACCCCCCACCCCCACCATCAAGCAAACAAGACAAATAAAATAGCTAGCAACTGATCGTTAGTCCACTGCAATGTAGCAGGTGTGTTTTATGCAAGCACGCAGAGCACAGCTGAAAGCTCTTTATCTTCAACAGCTTATGCCATGTTTGAGCTTCTGACTTGTTGCAGGATCTGCATTTAAGTGTATGTGAAACCGTGGTCACCAACTGATCAAAACAGCTATGCGGACTGTGCCACCTCGTTTCGATAGTCCGTAAATGCAGTTTTAGCCCTTTGCTGTCGCACAATTGCGGTACTTCATGCTCCGCACACTCTGTGGATCATCTGAATTAACCGAGCTCAGCCATATATGAAGGAGAGTGTGATGCCATTAAACAATGCACATGCTGGCCAGGACGAGAGAACACATCCAAACAATTAGATTTCTTCATTACTGAACGTCATATGAAGGAGCTTCTACTGTATCACATGTACGTGATTGCACTTTGGAATAATCTTCTCAAAGCCATAACTGTTTTCCTGAATACCTCAACACACTTTTAAATATTGCATAACGATTTCACTTCTCTTGCCATATTCACCGATTTGCCTACACATAATACTGTTTATTTACTTTCCCAAGCTTTGTTAATTGCTGTTTATTCATTGCTCAGCACCACCCTCACTCAATGCTTGTTTGGCAACTCTATGATGTGGTGCAAATAAAATAAAGTGCATTCAATGCTAAGTGTGTTGCCGCATCAGCATTCATTTCGATTTAACTTACAATCTACATAGGTTGTTTTCACGGCCCTGCTCGTCTATCGGCTTTCTACCAGACTTGTCAATACGCCGCTCCCATGCATGGATTGCTAGATGGACTGTTTGGTTATGTGGCTAGCTTTGTTTGCAAAAAAGCAACTTTCGTTCAACTTTTCTTAGTAACCTCAGAATCTGAACTTGCAACAGGTGCTGCAAAAATGCCTTCAAATAAGTACCAATTATGTGCTCAAGCAAATGAGCTTCGTAGCTCTGCTAATTGAATCTTAGCGACTTATTGC